CCCTGTTGTCTATATCCATGGGTCCTTTGTACATGTTCCTTGACTAGACCCTTCTCCTTCTTTCCTTTATTATTGCTTGACCCCCTCCTTCTGGTCACTGTCAGTTTGTTCCTTATTTCTATGTCTCTGGTTCTATTTTGCTCATTTGTTTGTTTTGTTCACTAGGTCCCACTCATTAGGTGAGATCATATGGTATTTGTTTTTCGAAATAAGCCACTTGGCTTATTTTCTGAAATAAGCCACTTGGCTTATTTCACTTAGCGTAATACTCTCTAGTTCCATTCATGCTGTCATGAGGGTAGGAGCTCCTTCTTTCTTTCTGCTGCACAGAATTCCATTGTGTAAATGTACCAGTTTTTTGACCCACTCATTTACTAATGAGCACTTAGATTGCTTCCAGTACTTGGCTATTGTAAATTGTGCTGCTATGAACATTGAGGTGCCCAGGTTCTTTAGAAATGGTGTTTCAGTATTCTTAGGATACAGTCCCAGCAGTGGAATTGCTGGGTCAAAAGGCAGTTCCATTTTTAGTTTTCTGAGGAAATTCCATACTGTTTTCCACAGTGGCTGTGCCAGTCTGCATTCCCACCAACAGTGTGCTAGGGTTCCTTTTTCTTCACAACCTCACCAGCATTGGTTGTTTGTTGATTTGTTTAAGATGGCCACTGTGACCTGTGTGAAGTGGTATCTCATTGTGGTTTTAATTTGCATCTCTCTGATGGCTAGGGACTCTGAGCATTCTTTGGTATATTTATGGGCCTTCTGTATGTCCTCTCTGGGTAAGTATCTGTTCAGGTCCTTTGCCCATTTTTAATTGAGTTGTTTGTCTTCCTGGTGTTGCATTGTATGAGTTCTTTATATATTTTGGACATCAAACCATTGTCTGAGGTATTATTGGTAAATGTGTTTTCCCATACTGTTAGGTCCCTTTTCATTTTGCTGATGTTTTCTTTAGCTGTGCGTAAGCTTTTTATTTTGATGTAGTCCCACTTGTTTATTCTTTCCTTTGTATCCCTTGCCCTAGGAGATATATTGCTGCATGGGATATCTGAAATTTTTCTGCCTATGTTTTCCTCTAGGGATTTTATGGTGTCATGACTTATATTTGTTTTTTATCCATCTTGAGTCTGTTTTTGTGTATGGTGTCAGTTGGTAGTTGAGTTTCATTTTATTGCATGTAGAGGTCCAGATCTCCCAACACCATTTATTGGTGAGGCTATTTTTACTCCATTTTATGCTCCTTCCCCTCATGGTCAATTACAAATTGACCACAGAGACATGGGTTTATTTCAGGGCTCTGTACTTTGTTCCATTGACCTATATGTCTGTTCTTATGCCAGTACCAGACTGTTTTGATTATAGTGGCTTCATAATATAGTTTGATATCAAATATATTGATCCCTCCTACTTTGTTTTTCTCTCTCAAAATTGTTAAGTCTATTTGAGGTTGTTTATGGTTCCATACAAATTTTTGAAATATTTGTTCTATATCTCTGAAATATGTCATTGGTATTTTAGTAAGGATTGTGTTGAATCTATAGATTGCTTTGGGTATAATAGACATTTTAATGATGTTAATTTTTCTAATCCCTGAATATGGTATATGCTTCCATTTATGTGTGTTTTTCCTAATTTATTTCTTCAGTGTTCTGTAGTTTTCTGAGTGGAGGTCTTTTACCTCCTTGGTTAAGTTTGTTTCTAGGTACTTTATTTTTATTGTTGCTATAGTAAATGGGACTTTTTCCTAGTTTCTGTTTCTGATATTTCATTGTTGGTGTATGAAAATGCCTTTGATTTCTGAATATCAACTTTGTATCCCACTGTTTTGCCAAATTTATTTATTGGGTCAAACAGTTTTTTGGTGGGGCCTATAGGGTTTTCTATGTATACTCATATCATTTGCAAACAATAGCAGTTTTACTTCCTCCTTTCATTTATAGTAAGATTTCTAACCCTTGGCACTACTGATATTCTGAGCTGGATAATTATATTTGCAGGGGGCTTTGCTGGACATTATAGTATGTGCCCTATAAGATGGTTAACAGCAGCCCAAGTCTTTATCTAGCAGATCTTGATAACACACATCATCTCCCAGGTTGACACATCCAAAAATATTTCGAGATGTTGCCAAATGTCTCCTGGTGGAAAAATTGTTCCCACTAGGGGACAATTGAGAGCCATCGTTTTAGCAGGCCCAGAGTTTGCCCTTTTTTCCTCCAGGTACTGTAGTCCATATTTCAGGAACATAGGAAAATAATCATGGTGACCATAAATTGCCTCTGCCCTTTTGGGCATTTTTTTTAGCTTTAACTTTATTTTCATTTTATATTATCATGGAAGTATGAAATAGACTTAAAATACAGATTTTTTTGAGAGTGATGAACTTCACATTTTTGTACAATATCCTGAAAGAATTAAATACCCATCAAACCCATTTAATTATGCCTCCTCTTACTAACTGAGACAAGGAAATGCTTTGCTTTGTGCTACCCATCCTCACAATTGGAAAATTAAAGCTGAATTTCTTTGCTATGCTACAGCCCTCAACGTCCATGGCTACATCTGTCACACTTTGGAAAATTATGCATCTCAGACACAGAAAACACTTAGTACCCTGATTTGATGATGGAATTTTCTCTACTAAGAAAGCATTGTGGGTGGAAGGTGGGGATGGCTGGGGGAAATGGAGCCAACTGTACTTGAATGGCAACAAAAACAGAGGAAAAAATAAAATTCTATGGCACACCAGAAAAATAAAAATAAAAATAAAAATAAAAATAAAAATAAAAATAAATAAAACTATCACTCTTATAATAATAAAAAAAGCATTGTAGAAACAGATGCAATCCTTAATGTGAAAGTTGGAATGTAGCCAAGATAACACAATCCTGAGTGTAAAATGAGGTTTAACTCTCAGTTTCCTGTCATTGTGAAATTTATTAAGCCAATCTATCAGAACCTTAATCTAGTCAACTGAAAAAATAAGAAAAGTGTGCCCTGGCTAGTGTGGCTCAGTGGCTTGAGTGCCAGCCTGAGAACCAAAGGGTTGCTGATTGGATTCCCAGTCAGGGCACATGCCTGGGTTGCAGGCCAGGTTCCCAGTTGGGGGAACATGAAAGGTGACCTACCACACATCAATGTTTCTATCTCTTTCTTTCTCCCTTGCTTTTCCTCTGTCTAAAAATAAAATAAAATATTAAAAAATACACAATAAAAGAAATAAAATAATAAGAAAAATGTTTTATAAAAGATGGGTTATTTTGAAAATCAAAAGAGAAAATACGCCTAAAAATTCCTGGAAGCATATCTTGTATATATTAGAGGTTAAAAAGCAATGCTTATACCTATAAAAAATTTTCATTAATTGTTAAGTACTGTCTAGTTACAGGCTGATTATTGCTCTTTAAACATTTGACCCTGCTGGAAGTAGCTTTATTTACCTAAGGACAAAGGCAAATATTTACCTTTGTTTACCTTGGAGAGTTGGCTTGGTGTGGCATGTGAAGAGGGCTTAGGTCAATGAGTGCACATAAGAAAAAACTTAAAAAATTGTACTGTGCTATACAAGATTTGTAGGTCATGTTAAGAAGGGAAGTTGTTTTATTTGCCACCCTTCAAACCTGAGACAATAAATTCTTCCCTAAAACCACATAATTTTCTACTTTAAAAATCTTTGCATATCTGTGATATGCCTACCTTTGAAATACACAATTTAAGAAAGTTATATTAGCTCCAGATGAAGTATTACTGAACTTTTTAATATACAGTTCCCAATTCCTCAAACATAGCCTCATTTTCACCTTCAGTTGTTAACAATTATTTATTGGAGATCTACTCTGCATTACAAACAATCTAGACTAGGCAAAAAGTAAAGAGGTATGTTCCGTCCCTTCATTAATGGCACACTCTATTAAGGAAGTAGAAAGAAAATAAACAAACAACTGTATCTGTAATTAAAATAATAATAATGAGTAAGAGAAAGGATAAAGAATAAAAAAGCAATTAAAGGATTTTTTTAAGGCGGGGTCAAAATTAGAACTAAGGGATTAGGTAATCTATAATGAAATTAAATGGTAACTTAAAAGAAGTAATAGAAAGGAGTTACATAAAATTGAAGACAAGAACATCCTAAGAATGGGGTCATGTGTGCAAAATTTGTAAATGTAACAAGTTTTCAGAAGGCCAAAGGGGCTGAAGTTTAATTTGTGATATTGTTGGAGAGGTAGGTCAAGGTCATCTGTAGCATTATAGTATATACTTTTTTGCTATCATTATATTTCCAAAGAAATAAGAATTGATATTTACATCATTCACATTGTCTTTTAAAAAGATCACTCTCACTTGTGTAGATAACCACTTACAATGCAGCAGGAATAGACACTTAGAAGTAATGGGGAGGGATTTTGAGGAACAAGTATGAAAGACATAGGGATGAGGACTGGGGGGGATGAGAAAGAGGGGGGAGATAGGGCGGGGGGGGCTGGGATGGGAGAAATAGACAAAAAATGTACTTGAAAAATAACTAAATAAAAAAAATAGACACTTAGAAGTCAAAGAGGTTATTGAAATATTTCACAAAGGAATGCTGGTAACTTTGAGGATGATTAAAACAGAAATAGAAGACACTATAAAGATATAATTTGTGTCTAGAATCAAAAGAACTTAGTATAAATAGATTAAATATGGAGATACGGAATCCATTTTTGTCAGAAGGATAAACACTACAATTTGTTTTGATTAGGATTTGTTGCTTTTATCAGAGATGATATCATAAGGCATTTATTTTATTTCATGTTAATTGAAATAGAGACCTCAGGAAAGGTACTCCCTATTTCAGGTCTTATGCCCATTCTCAGTTACTAGTTTAAGTGAAATAAAACTGATGATATTAACAAAAATAGGTTCAACATTATTTGTGTCAAATACTAGGTTTTCCTAAACTCACCTAAAATCTCTTACCCAAAACATTCCTCCAATGTGGTTTTTGCACTATATGATTGTTATATCTGCTTCTGACATAACTTAGCTACAACTCTTACTCTAATCTGCCTAGTTTTTACACAGTACACAATTGGGTTCATCATTGGAGGCACAAGTAAGAGAACATTTGCCATGAGAACTTTGAAGAGAGGAGAGACATGCTGGGCAAAGCGATGGACAATGGCAAGACTGATGATGGGCAAATAGAAGATGATCACTGCACAGATGTGTGAAACACAAGTATTGAGGGCCTTGAGCTGCTCCTTCTGGGATGCAATTCCCAGCACAGTCTTGAGGATCAGGAAGTAAGAGACAGCAATGAGCATAAAATCTACCATAACACAAAGTGCTATAAAAAATCCATAGATGACATTAATTTTGTTGTCAGAGCAGGCCAACTTCATAACATCTTGGTGGAGACAGTAAGAATGAGATAATTGGCTTTTCTGGCAATATTTCAACTTTCTCAAAGTGAAGGGGAATGGAAGAACCAGGAGGACACTCCTAAAGGACAATACTATTCCTATTTTGGCAACTCTGACAGTAGTAAGAATGGAGCTATATCTCAGGGGGTTGTGGATAGCTAGGAAGCGGTCAAATGACATGATTAGGAGCACTGAGGACTCCAGTACCGTGAATCCATGGATGAAGAATTCCTGGGCAAAGCAGGCATTGGCAGAAATTCCAGGAGCATTGAACAAGAAGATTCTCAACATGGTAGGCAGAGAAGATAAGGACAAACCCAAGTCAGACAGGGCCAACATGGAAAGAAAATAGTACATGGGCTCATGCAAGGAGGGCTCTGTCTTGATGACGAAAAGGATGGTACAGTTTCCCAGAAGGGCAACAACATACAGGCTGCAGATGGGAATGGAGATCCAGATGTGTGCATATTCCAGTCCTGGCATACCAACCAAAAAGAAGGTGGTGATTTCAACATGTGATGTGTTGATAATTGTCATGATGCATTGAGGGCCCTGCAATAGAAGAGAGATGTTGAGTTGACAAAATATACATATCTAGAGATTTCACCGGAAGAGAACAGGTTTTGAAGTTTCTGGCTTTCTGTAGTAGCACTTTTGATGGGGCAAAATATTTACTTGGCTATCACACATAGAAAAAGTATGTACCACATTAGATTAGAATCTTTATGGGTTACAGCTTGAAAAAATTAGTTGTGGCCACATTTTTCCTTGGAGAAAATCTTTTTAATTTGCATTCAAATATGTGTCTAAATTAATTTTTCCTGAAAAGACTGAACAACCTGCGCTCAATCATCCCTGAGTCCTCTTTCTGTCTTCCTTTCATACCCTACATACGATGTTGGGTAAAATATATAATTTCTAGCTTGACAGTAAAGAGAGATAAAGAAATTTCAGACCCATTTTCTTTCTAACTTTTGGAAATCCCACAAATGTATGGCCTTCTTATAAATAAACTCTTCATTTGTACACTCTGCCATTTAAAAATTGGCTATATAAACATCTTTCAATAATTTTTATGACTTTTAAATTATTTATATATTAGTAAGAATAGTTGCAGCAGAAGTTACTGACAGTTCATGTCTCATTTTTTCCTGGCCTGGAATTTATGACCACTTGTATGGTGCTAATAGAAGAAGAATAACCTAAAGTGGACAATATCACAATTTAGGAGAATTTTAATGCTGCTGAAGACTGATCTTCTGAATGGTGAATAGTTAATTAACATAGTCACTGAAAAGAACAATTTTCCTAGAGGAGTGACTTTTGAGGTGTTCTTCTGCTCAATGTGAAGTTCTAAGTGGTTGATTGCCAAAAAATATAAGTAATGTGAAAGCCAAATAGATTAGCATATCAGAGTACTTACCAGACAGTGTGTACTTTGGAGAGAACTTTTCAAACTGGCTGCAGGATTAAGCACAAAATGGCAGAGGTGATTGGGTTTGTCTGCCACCAAAGGCTTCTGCTGATATATGAGGGTTTGCATATATTTCCTCCTGCAGTCACCTGCTACAGGGACACTAGACTCTCTGGAGATTGCAGTCAGGTTGGATTTGTCCTGGGAATGAGAATAAACATGGGCTGATATTGCAAATCCATAAAGACAGTTAATACTAGGAACATGAAATATGTATCTAGACCTCAAATTAGGGACTGTTCTGGTTAGAGAGAAGTACTTAACAACCAGGTATAGGGGAGATGTAAATGTTGTGCACAATCTCCAACACTCTGGTGGGCTCAGGACTTACTCCCCTGCCCCAGACAGAGTCAATGAGCAGACTCTACAAGTCTGTGCATTAAAAGAAGTGATAAAAACAAACACCCTATGACACATATTTTTAACCTAGACTTTACTCATCAAGCCTGGATTTATCTTTCCACATTCATCGTAAACTAAATATCCCTTTAAACCAGATTTTCAAATTATATTCCATTTCTCTCTTCTGAAATCTGCCTCTTCTTAGGGCCTCTTCATAATAAATTTTTACGCTTAACATTTCACAAGCCAAAAATGTGAACGTTTTAATCTCTTCTTCCCCACACTTTTGTACATTTAGATTGCTCTACTTACTGAGACTCACTTACTACTAGATGTTGATTTTGAATCCTTTAATATTTTGAATAATAGTAAGTATTGTTATTACCTTCATTTAATCAATGAAGAGAAGTGTTTCTTAAGGAGGTCAAATAATCTGTCCAAGATCATCTAGGAGTTGCATGGTAGAGGTAAGATAGGAATTCAGATCTGTCAGATTCCTAATAACTAGACATAAGTTATGCATTCAGGAAGGTCACTCAGTACCTGGGAAGTTACAAACTGAATGGTTGTTATTTTCAGCATTCTAAACTGCCTGCCATTTTACTCTTGGAGATAACCTCATTAATCTTACAGTTCAAAACATTTGGGACAAAGAAAATAATGCAAATAATATGGATTTTAAGGAGAAGTTTCATGAGGAGAAAACAAACACATACTCATCCTCATTTATCAATAGTCTAGTAAAAAAGTATTAAGTAGACAAAGGAGAGGAAGCATAACAAAGTTTTACTATAACCCTCCAACATAAAATCTTTTAAACTTTATTATGATTACTTTTAGACTGATAATGGGCTACCATTTGCATCCTGCTTGGTTCTAGAATCAATTATTCGGTCCCATTTATTCTTACTTTCTCTCTGAGGTTTTATATAGGTTCTTGTCCTTAAAGAAACAGCTGAGGCACCTTGGTTCTTTTTAATTATTTATTGCTCTGGTGGTGTTATGTGTCCTTTGGCTCAATGCTCAACTTCGGGGACTAAGTTTATTTGTTCCAAGCTACAGCAGGGCAAGCAGCACATTTATTTTGTTACCATCAATCTGTCCAGTCACTAGCACTGTGGAAGGACTATGGCAGCTTAATCAATATTTATTGAATGAATGGATTGCATTTTTTTTTACTGTTGCCATAAGATATATACTATTTTTACCTTTATCATTATTCCTATTTTGCTATGTTTGCTATAGAATAAAAGAAGAGATTTTAGACATTGTAGCATCTGCTCATGAATGTTTACATGCTATTATAATACCTATCTTGCATATGATTAACTTACATATTAGATGTTGAAAATTTTTAAATGCAGATAATGTGTAAAAGTTTTTTGCATATAAAGCATATTTAAAATACATAATATACAAATGTAAAAAGTGAATTATGTGTGTACAATATAATTGTTAATATTTTCTCAAATAGATTTGAAATTGTTTTTCTGTAACAGAAAGAAAAAGTCGGTGATCTCTGTTTTGTCTCCCAAACCCAAGTGATAATGAAGACATGGCATATAACGTAGTTGGGACACAGCTAAAAGCAGTGTCTCCACTGACAATTTTAGGTTTTGTTAATTAATTAATAAATAAGAATAGGTGACCATCTAAGATATAATTTCAATTTCAGGATGATGGTGAAAAAATGAATTAAGTCCAAAATACAAAGAAAGGAATAAAAATGGAAAGATAAGAAATCACTAAAATACTGACATAATTAGAGAAGTACTAGATATGTGACATAAATACTAATACTAAAATATCTGACATAATTAGAGAAAATCAACAAAGCAGAAACCTGGGCATGTAAAATTTGAGAATTAAAAAAACTTTTTGCTACATACTGTCAAGAATAAATACTGAAAACACAAAATTTATATTAGTAATGAAGACAGGGAATATTGCTAAAGGTATTATCAACAATGAAAAGATATTAAGTACATATAATAAACAACTTTTTTTCTTTTTCCAGTAAAACAGATAACTTAGGGGAAATGGACAAATTATTTGAAAGACACTAGTCTTCATAAAATAACAAGAAAGGGAAAAGCTGGGCAGCTCTTTATCTGTCAACAAAATTCAATACACAATTGTTTTTTTAAAAACCTCAAAGCAAACTCCAGTAGGAAAGCTCAATTCCTTATTTATTTTAAGCATTTAACAACAACAACAACAAAAGACCAATGTCATAACAATCTTTTGAAGAATAAAACATTTCTTCATCGGTTTCATGTGTTGACATCTAACTGATTGCACTGTGAGAAACAGCAAACAATGATTAATGTTCCATGTGAATTTAGGTACAAACATAATAAAAATACCAAGTAGAGCAGTGAATGTATAAAAATATAATATCATAACCAAGTAGAGTTTATCATAGAATGTACATTTTGAAACATCATGTATATATTTCCCAGTGGCATAGAGGAAAAACTACATGATCACTTCAACAGATAAAATATAGTTTCATCATAAAACCTCTGAGTAAAATAGAAATGGGGGTACTACCTTGAGTTGATACACACACACACACACATATATATATAATATGCTATAACTAGCATTAAAATAATGAAAAGATATTGGACACTTTCACTCATAGACAGGTAAAGGTCAGAAGGTATTCATGAATACTCCTATTCAAAATTGTATTAGATGTCCAAGACAGTGTAATATAGGGGAAAAAGTATAAAAATTTGAAAGGATAGTGTAAAGATGTTAATTCATGAATAGTATGATTGTTTATGTAGAAATATATAAATATTAATATAAAGATAAATGAATTAAAAAAAGTAAGCCGGGTAAAAAATAAAAAAAAACTGAATCCCTAAGAACTTGGAAAACAATTTGTATAAATTTAGAATACCATTTACATCAAACAATCAAGATCTTTAATTAGGAACATCAAAAATGTAAAATTAAACATAAAACACTTCTAAAATATCTAAACGGAAAATTTCAAACCATTGCAGAAAATTTCAAAAGACCTATAGACCATGTTCAGTGATTAGAGAACTCTATATTGTTAAGATAACAAGTCTTCCAAACGGAGCATATTGACTGCACAAGTGTACTCACATCCTAGTAGGTTTTGTTATGGAAATTGACAGGTTGATTGTGTACTTTATGTGAAGATGCAAAAGGCCTACAATAGGCAAGACAAGGAAGACATCAGACTACACCACTAGGTCTTAGGACCAACTCTAAAGCAACCTTTACCCAGCAGTGTTGGTGGTGCTGACACAATGTTGGAGGAGGTAGTTGTGAGGTCATGACCTCCAGTGAACCACAAGCTGGACCCACACAATCAGAACCTCCTCTCCCCTCCTCTGTCCTTAGAATGTATGGTGTGCCCACCGTTCCTATAGTGGGAGTCATTTTCAAGGAGGTGTCCTTGAGTGAGAAATGTATAATTGAGACCATCAGGACAGGGCAGTGACTGGACCTAGTTAATTAAGGCCTCTATAGAAACTTAAGATTCTTGCAAGCAGGTGAGGAGATATACTGGTTTTGTGGCTGCAAGACAAACCTCACTTATGTTCCCTTGCTTTTTAAACCTGCCACCCACCATTGTGAAGTGGTCAGCCTCTTTCTTCTGTGGCTCCTTGTCATTTGCATACAGAGGCCAGTTCCTGATATTCCCAGGAAATTCCCTCAGGTTGCAAACCAGTACAGAATAGACAAAATAAGCAACTTATATATAAAAATAAATTAAATAACATTGAGCTTTATCATAAGTCAATTTCATTTGGATCATGGATCTAAGTATTTTCAATAAGTGGAGAAATTTATATATAAAAACAAATTGATTAATATTGAGCTTTATCATAAATTGATTTCATTTGAATCATAGACTAAACTATTACATGTAAAAGAAAAAATGTAGAAGAAAATTATGATAACATGTTCATGATCTTGGATAACCAAGGACATAAAAAGATTAACCCTGAGGTAATGATAATTAATCACTTATATTTAATTAAGAGAAAGATCTTCTATTTATTGAATCATGCTTTTGAGAGAATGAGAAGACAATCCATCCCCCAGGAGTAAATATTCTCACTTTACCTATCTGCCAAAGGGAATACAGAGAACTCCTACAAATTAGTAGGTAAAATGATAAAAATTGGGCAAGGTACCCAAACTGGCACTGTCCAACTTGCATTTGGAAAAATAAAAATTAACATCACAATGACATACTATACTATAGTATAACAACTGGAACTGCCACAAGCAAATGCATCTCTAAGAATATCTATAAAAACTGTAGTTGTAACAGTCAAAATTTGAGACAATGTCAATATTAGTAGGGAAATGGTTAAAATAATTTTATATTTTGATTTAATTGGCTTGTGATATTACCTTATTACCCAGACATTGAAATGCTCTTCAAGTAATTCAATTGCCTTGCCGAGATTGAAAGGGGGGTTTTCTATGACTCCTGTAGAGAGCTATCAGTTAAAATGATATATACCTAGGTACCTGCCTGTCTTCTTAAACATAGCATTCTGAAAATGATGTACTATTTCATGATAATTTGCAATACCTACTAAGTACATTGGTTCCTAATTCTTGCTGTGATAGCATGATGCATGTATTTTCTAAGAGCTTCCAATAAAATTCCTATAGGCCACGCTATGGGTTGATTTCTCATGTATCCTTTAATAATTACTTTTCATCAT